CATGGTGATATTGTACAAATTGGCATGGATGAGATCTCTTCCAGATCACAGCTGTTTGTAAACTACCAAGTCTGAGCACAAAATGGGATGGGTGGAGAGAATGAAAGAGAACTCTCCACAGGAACACTGAAATATTTTAAAGAGAGATCCTTGAATGCCAAGTGGTAAATACTGACAGTATTCCTAGGGGGTTTTGCTGTGTATAGCTTCTTGAAAGAGATTATTCCACAGTAAGTTTTGTGATTGGTTTGAGTGGGTTTTTTTTCCTGTCCTGGCATTCTGAATTTTCTCAGGATTATCATAATGTCCTCTAGGCCTGAGTTACACAGGTGCCTTCCATCTTCACTGGCCCCCAGCCCATCTCCATGCTCTCCCTTTAGGCAACAATACTCTTTCTGTAGAGGATAATGCAGCTCTTTAAAAACACTCTCAACTCAACACAACTGGTTTATTCAGACTTGGTGATGGCTGCTGAACAGAAACATCTCTCAGTGAAATTTCTACCTTTTAGCATCTGGAAACAGAGGCAGATCCCAGGTAAAGCAAGTATTGATTCCATGAAACATAACAGGTTTCTGCAATCTGCTTTCAGCTGAATCTTACACAAACATCATGAAAGAGATTTAGACACAGAGGGACATAATCTCGGTGCACATTTTTGCTGTCTTTTAAGCATTTTGCTATCCTTACCCTATGCAATCACTCATTCTGCCTTGCCCTGCCTTCCTATCAAAGAATATAGATGGTGCAGACATTTCTTAGCTAAAATAAAGGAATTAAAAAATTGCTGTCTATATAGCTGTTAAACTAATTTATTCCACCACCTTGAATGAAATAGGGCAGTTTTTTGTGGTGATTTCATGATTTGATAAGAGGACTTCAGGTCTCAATTCATCCTAATTCTCAGTGCCTGATACTTTGTATTTTTCCAGTCCCCACTGAGTTGCTTCCAACTGTCTGCAATCAAAACACTTGGGGATGTTTTCTACAACCTTTTACTTGCCTTTTTTTTTTTTAATCTGTAATTCAATTTCACATTAAAAGACTTTCTTCAATATATACTTAAGTTCTGCTGATCCTCAAACTACACAAAAGATTTTTGTTTAAAGATATAGCAGATCCTTGACTCATAAAATACTGCCTGGGTCCAGAACTGGGGTAAGGTCTTAGCTATAGTATCTTTAACCCTGTGGACATGCATGTAGTGAGTTACAGAATGAAAAAACAGGTGCTCCAAAATCTAAAGTCTGACAGAATTATGCAGACCGAGATTATTATTTGCCCCTCCCATTTGCTCTTTTACAGTTAAGTGACAGTCATGCTTGTATCAAGAGTTACTTGTTTCCTGAGCAAGTGATTGGACTGATTTTCTGTACAATACTGAGAAATTCAGATTTTTCAGGGCCAAGAGCAAAATTGCTTTTGTCAATAAATTTATTGGTTTGGATTCTTTTAGATAAACAGTAGTTGAAGCTGATGTGAATCCCAGAAAATTTGGGCTATGAAAAAGTGAATTCCATTGCCCACGAAAAGCAGAATCCGGACACTTGCATGAATATTTTTTTTCTGTGTTTGTGATGTAACAGGTATCTTTATGCTGACATGCTGATTGCCAGTGGGATGGTGTATGGTGACACACTAGATCTGAAGACCTACAGTGAAAGTAAAGACACCTAAATAAAGTATATTGAAATCTTGTTCAGGAAATGTCTACAATGGTTGACAATATTGTGTTGTCTTTCACATGAATTTATATCTTTATAGGATTTGGAAATTGAAATAATCAAAATAGTTTATTATTAACATTCTTCTGTTAATTAGACAATTGTTATCTGATACATGGAAACAACTTTCACCTGCATATTTCTGATACTGCTGCATCTTATCCAAATGCTAGAAAATTCAGGATTTTGACAGAACACAAAAGCCTGTTGAGGTGCAGTGAAAATAAATTTTTTAAGTGGGATTTTGCGCTTGTTAGTCACACCATTTGTGATACAGGACTACTGTTCTTGGGGTATATCAATCAGCATCTCTTCTGTCTCTACTGACTTGAGTGACTGAATCTATCATGAAACTCTTACTCCATCTGGGAGTTTATTTTGCATAACGAACACATTTACAGCAACCCATTTGAAAACCTTTTAGAGTTCTTAGTACATGGAGTGGGATATTACTTGTGGTGACAGGAAAATAATGCTGTAGCCAAGGGTTGACAAGATGAATAAGTATGATGTTACTTTATTGCCCATTTTTTGCATAGTATCACACGCTGCTCACCAAGGACTGTGCGCCATTAGTTCAGAGTATTTCAGTTTTTAGGGGTATTTTTTTTCCATCTTGAAAGCAAAGAATCAAAATACTCTGCAGTTGCCATTTAAAATAGGACCATCTTTGCTGGCTTCTCTGTGAGATTACAGTACTTGTAGTCTAATTGAGATATTTTTAGAACCAGAAGCACCCAGCTGGGAACCAGGTTGTTTGCCCATTGTAAGACACCCAAAATCTTAGCAATCCTTAAACATACCACATGAACAGTTCTGCATTTTGCCAATACTGGTGTTCACACCAGTTATTTCCTCCACTTTTCAATCAAACACATAGACACAAGTGAGAACAAGAGGGAAACAATTTATTTGACAAGTTGCTTAAAATAAATGGGAGATTTTGAAGGTGATAAGAAATTTTAACTGGCAGAGATAGACCACAACCCCATAGTCCAAGTGGTATTGTCAAAAGTGTATAGCAAAGCATGAACACATTTGTAAAAGGAAAAGTGTTGTATGAGTTTGCACACTGTCAATAAGTAATGATGAAACCCCTACCCCACAGGCTTGTCTGGGCACACAGAGCCTGCAGGGTTGCTAAGACAATGGTACTGCTACAGACGCATTTAGATAGTGGTGTATTTACAGCTAGAAAAAATAGTGAGTTATGCAGATCAGCCCAAACATGGCTCAATGGAACCTTTCTATTTCCAAAACCCAAGGATATACATTAATTTTCCACACATAATGCACCGTGATATCCACATGTATTGAATTTGCTTGAGATATGTTCAATTGCTTTTTGCTAGGACAGCCAGACTGACAGTATGTTTCACTACACATTGCACAGGGGTGCTCTGGGCCTGGAACAAGTGTTCTCTGACTATCAGTGCATACACCAGATCAGAGATATTTTGGCGTTGCTAGAATTCTTTTTAATATGAAAATCAAAAGTTCTTGTCTTTTGACAAGAATTACCAACCTTCAGCATCAGGTTCATCTTGATACCTGGTCATATTCAGGTGTGGCAAATGACACATTTCTGTGGTGTAATGGCAATTAATAGCAGAGACTCAGAAACAGCTCAGGAGTGTCAGATGTGCTCCCAAGTTAGCACTTGCAGGTGAATTTCACAGTGCAGGATTAAAGCGCTTTATCTTGAGACCTCCTTTTTGCAGATTGCAGAAAGCAAAAAAAAAAAAAAGTGCCTATTATACATCTAAAGTCAAATGATTCACTGCACAGCATATCCACCATCTTCCTTTCAGGGCTATACTTCAAGAGGTTTGGCAGTGAAACAGCCTGGCTGTGTGGGAACAGAAACCTCCGCTGGTGAGCAGGGAGAGTGGCTCTGTAAAACCAGCCACGGAACGAAAAGCTGAAAAATGAGGTGGGGGCCGTGGCTGTTTTGATTTTAAAAAGGCTTAAATGTTCTTTAACTTAGTTGTTTGGGTTTTTTTTTTCTATTGAATACATAAATGAGAAATTTATCACCCACACAATCTTGTCTGTTTCAGCAGGAAAAGTGTGTTTTCTCACTCTGTGCAATTCCGATTCTTACAAATGGGAAAAGGTAGAGAAACCGACATGACGAATTGCCCCCAGCCCCCTAAAGGACGGCTATTGTGTTTCTGGGAGGAAAACCCGAGCAGCTCCTTACTTGAGCCGCAAGGCACAGCGTGGCGGTGTGAGGGAGGGACAGGGGCCCGGTTTGTCCCCCCGGGAGCGGTGCCAGGGTGCCGCTGGCAGCCCGGGGGAGGCCGGGGCCGCCCTGGCCCCGCTCCAGCGGCAGGTGGATGCTGCGGGGCTTCCCCGCTCCCGAGCGCTCCGGCCGGGGTAGCTGTCGCTCTCTATTAAATGGCTGCCTGCTTTTCGGGGCTGCCGCCTGCTTCATGGTTTGGCTGTTTATTTATTTTTTTTTTTTTTGGCAGCTCTGCTGTCTCTCGGGGGCAGCTCCCCCCTCTCCACCCCGCTGCTTCCCTAGGTGAGGCTTCATCCCACCGCCTCGCCGTCCGCCCCCGCCTCAGCCCTTCCTCCCCTCGCCCTTCCCGGGGAGCCGCCGCCTCTTCTCCCCGAGCCTCCCCCCGGCCCCGCACCCCTCCTGACCCCTGCTCCCGGCCAGGGTGCGCCTGGATGTGGGCTGGGGCCGGCCCGGCCGTGCGAGGCGAATCGCGGCTTTCCCGGGGAGCAGGAGGCGGTGGCCGGTCCGGGGGCGGCGGGGCAGGGCAGGGCAGGAGCTCCGGAGCGCCTCAGCCCGCGCCGGGGACCGCGCCGTGCCGGGGAGCGAGCGGCTCTCTAGCCCGCCTCGATCTCTGAGCAACACCTTCACCCTTGTCCCTCCCCCACCACCCGCCGGTTTTTCTTTTTTTTTTTTCCTTTTCCTCCTCTTTTTTTTTTTTTTTTTTCCTATTTTTTTTTTCCGCTCCTTCACTCTCCCGCAGCGAGTTAAATATTTCTTTTGTTAATTGACGCCCAAAGTGTTCCCAATCCCTTCCCCGCGCCGCCCGGGCCGACCGAGGACGTGTGCACGCCCAGATCCGCTCGGTGAAGCAGCACAGATCCGCGGGGCCGAGCGGGTATGTGCGTGAGGAGGAGGAGGAGGTGGTGTAAAAGGAGCGACGGGCACAAAGCAGATTTGAGAGGAATAATTTAACTCTGGTATTTGTTGTTTTTTCATGGGTTTGTTTTTTCCCTTCTCTCTCTCTCCTTTCTATCTCGTTTTCTGCTCAGGATTTAAATGTCACTCAAAGCATCCCCAGATCAGCTTTCCGCTCGTCTCCGGTTTCTTCCGAGGCATTAATTGGATCACACGCTGCATTTGAAGAGCCTGGGTATTTTACCCGCTAAGGTAAGTGGGCTTATGCACCTCCGTGGGCTCTGGATGGTCACCGAAAGCCTTTCAGGGTGGTGTTTTTCTTCCCCTTGGCCCCCCTCCCCCAGCTCCGGGGCCAGGTTCCGCTCTACCTGAAGAACTCGCATCCCTGGGTTAAACATCGGTCGATGTAGGGAAAATACGCCGGGGGGCAGCGGGGTCGCGGAGGCTCCGTGCTGCCCCTCGGGCACCAGCCAGTGACCAGCGGGAGCCGGCGACCCCCTCAGTTCCCAGCGCTTGTGCTCCGGGAATAGCGCCTGGTATCACAGTAAGGAAAGAAACAGCCTAATCCCCTCTTACAAGAAACTATTCGTCATCATTTTTTTTTCCTCCGTGAGAAATGTTGTAGGCGCTCATCTCCCTCCTCCCCCACCGCCCGCCCCCGTTGCCAGCGCCGGCTCCTTTGCCCGCACCTCTCCTCGCTTCAGGCGGTTCCTTCCAGGGACTAAAAAGTTAAGCTGCCCCCTCTCTCCCCCCACCTGCCCCCATACGTACGCAGTGCATTCTCCTTTTTAACTATTCTCCCTGTGCCTAATCCGAGACCGTCCAGCCCCCCCAACGCTTAAACTAGGTTGCAAAGCCGCTGTACCTTGCAACTCCTAAAACTTCTCTTCTTGCTGTGATTTATATTCTATAATAACAAAAAGGACAACAAAATATACTGGATCCTCCTGTGGATTACTTTTTTTTTCTTTTTTAAATAATGCATTTCCTTCTTCCCCTTTAATTTTTTTTTCAAGGAAATTTGCTCCATCTCCAGCAGCAACCACTGCTCCTTTTGATGTTGTGGTACGCCGTGCGCATGCGCTTCACATTAGAATTACTGCACTGGCCAGAATAAGTTGGATCTCTTCTTCTCTTCACTGAAACCCTAAATCATATCAAAAGCTAAAGGGATGCTGAGAGTCCGGAAAAAGGGTTACTTTGGGATTTGGACATTCCCTTTAATAATAGCTGCGGTGTGTGCACAGAGGTAAGTGATTAAGGTATCTCTTTACTTTGAATTGCAGTGCATGCTGCTGCTTAGAGAAATGTACAGCTGGGGGCTGAGAAATCAGAAATAAAACAGTATTATTCTTTCTTTTTCTTTAGTGTCAATGACCCTAGTAATATGTCACTGGTGAAAGAGACCGTGGATAGACTGCTGAAGGGCTATGATATTCGCTTGAGGCCAGATTTTGGAGGTAATTTGACTGCTTTTGCATAAGAGAGGTTGCATATCCGGGCTGGGTGCGTTGTGTATGGGGGCGGTTTCAAACGTCTTGTGGGTGCTGTTGCTTTGGGGGGTGTGTGTATTGCCATTTCCTGTAGCTGATCCAAAGTTAAGCCCATTGTTTCTCAATTTTCTTAGCAAAGGATGCTCTTAATGCGATCACTTAAATCACTTGTATATTCCTAATCGGTCCCTCATTGTGTGTGTGTGATGACACTTTACCAACCTGTAATTGAACCCTTGTTTAACTGGTTTTATCGAGATGCAAATCTCTCTTAAGTTCACCCAACGTTTGCTCCTTTCAGCCTAACGTGCCTGTGATCACAGCTACTATTTTCGAGTACAAGACGTGCCGTTAACTGATACAAAAATGTCATTTAACCCCCTGCGCGCTCCTACTCCCAACTAGTTTGTTTATTTCGGACGTGTTCTGTTCTCTGTGGGTGGCCCTTTCCCACACGCGCACCTCGTTCCCCCCATCCCTCGGCGGGGCTCGGTGCTTGCTGTGCCCGGGCCGCGGGGCTGAGCGGGCGCGGAGCGGGCGCGGCGGTGCCGCACGTGTGCGCTGTTACATAAAGCACCGCCTCGGCCCGGGCCCGCGGCCGCGCTGGGACCCCGCTGGGGAGGGCAAACGGGGGGGGGGGGAGCACTTCATGCCTCCCTCCCGACTTTCTGGTTGTGTTTAAACGTCGTTTCCTATGTGCGCTGCGCGTTCGCCCTGCTAACTCCGCTAAGAACGAGTTAAGTTCTTCGAGATCACATTGCGGACCATCTTGTTGGTTTGCAGGTCCCCCAGTGGCTGTTGGCATGAACATAGACATTGCCAGTATAGATATGGTCTCGGAAGTCAACATGGTGAGTACTTGGGGTTCGGGGCTGCTTGTTCTCCGAGGGGGTGGCTGCCGCTTCCCCCGCCCCTGCCGAGGCGGAGCGGGGCGTGAGGGGACCCGGCGCGGCCTCCTGCCCCGGGGAGGCGCCGGGGCGGGGCACACCCGGCTGCTGGGGGGTCGGGGGCGGCCTTCCCCCGCTGACGGCAGCGGATCCCGGGCCGCGAAGCGGCGAATCCCGGGCGGGGAGCGGCGGCTCGGAGCGGGGAGCGCGGGGCCGCTCCTGCGGCAGCTCCGGGGGCGCGCCCGCCCTCAGCGCCTTCCAGCGAGCAACGGCGCCCCCTGCCGGCCGCGCGCGCGCACCGCAGCCTTGCCCCGCGCAGCCGCCGCGCCTGGAGCTCAGCCCCGGCCCGGTGCCCTCCTTGTGTGCCCGGCTGAAAACAAAATAATAATCAAAAATAATAATCAGTTTAGATTGCCGGGGCCTCTGAGCCGTGCACTTCCGATTAAAAACAAAAAAATAGGGTTTTGCTTCTGCGCGTGTTCAAAATTTACCTGTTTTTCCCCCTAGCCTGATATTTTTTTGGATGGTGATGAAAGAGTCGATGATTTTAGGAGTTTAATTTTCCTAAGATGTTTGTCTCTCTTATTTAGAACTGACTGTCCTCAAATACTGAACTTGTTCAGAACGTAGTAATTTGACATGTTGCTTTCTGTGTTTCACTTACATCCCCTGGGAGACTAATGATGTGTGGAGATAATTGGACAAGTCTGATTCATACTTTAGAAAAAACTGGTTTTTACTTAGATGAAACTTTACTAACATTCATTTTTATTATTTGGAAAGTTTGGGGTCAAGTTTTCAACTTTTTATCTTAATTTGCATGCCAGTTGGTTAAGCACATGGAATTTGGCCTAGCATTTATAGGGGCTTATAAAGAAAAACAAAAGACACTAAAACATAGTAGCACATGATACAAAAGTGATGCAAAATAAATGTGATTTTGTCAAGTATTTGTGAATTCAAGTTTGTTGTTTGAAGCAAAATTTCCATTATTCTTGAAGAGATTTCAAGTAAACATCTTTAAAATCACAGGTGTGATTTTAGGGCTCTTGCTGTAGCTGTAACCATGCATTTGAAAATAACGCTTGGGAAGTTATCAGTTGTTTTAATAACATTGTACTACTAAAATATTTAGTTCCTCACCGTCATGCTTGGGTTCTCAGAGATGTTGCACTGGATGAATTGGCAAACATTTGTTCTGAAACTGAATGACTTGAGTGATGTACAGGAGTTTTTTCATAATGTAGAATAAAGCCCTTGGCCTAATTTGAGGGTAACGTTACAGGTGATTTTACTGTGGGACAGGGAGGTGTTGGTGACTGAGTACTTGATGCTGGTCTTTTTCAAGACACCAGGAGACCTGAATAATCTCACCTTCTGAAACATTACTTCTGGGAAATTTCTAGGTGGCTAAAAGGGGCTCCCAAACTTTGTATCACTAAACTTGTTATCTGGTGTTCTACCTTCAGGAGCTTTAAGTACAGAGGAAGAAAAGTACATTGTATTTTAAACCACTTGTTTTTCATTAAGAGAACTGTAGGTAGGAGAAAAGGGGACACAGATTTATTTCTTAGCCAGCCCTGAGCAGTGAGGGAAGGATGGGGGTTCTTTGGTGGGGCTGCAATCTACCAGGTCACTGTTACACTCTCCCATCCCTTCAGAACTGGAAAGTTAATGTGAAAAAATTGTTGAAAATCTTCTGATTCTTCTCTTTGTTTCTTTAAATGGTTTCTAGACATTTGGTCTCCAGTTAAAGGTGATAGCATATCAGAATACACTTACAGCCTAACTATCTAAGGCAGTATTATTTTTAGTATTCTGTAGTCAGTTTATTGTGTTTCTATAATGAAATGTTTGACCTTTCTGAAAAGTCTTTTCAGACTATCTGCAGAACTCGGAGGAGGAACTGTATCTACAGTTTTGTCCTACTAATTTGCCTAAAGCATTTAAGCTCTGGGTTTATTTTACTCCAGGAAGCCACCTATTTCTTATACCCAGGCAATCATGTTACATAATTTTTCTTTTTTTCACTTAGAGTTTCAAAAGAGATACCAAACCAAGATTATAATCTGCTTAATTGCAAAACGTAACACTTAATTTTACAATGATCTGTACAACATAGCAAGTCCCAATATACCCTGAATGTAACCTGAAATGAATGAGGAGAGAGGCATACAAGGAAACAACAAAATCCTTAGTGTGCAAGGCCTTGGCTTTTTTACTTGCACATTCACCAGAATTTGGAGTAGAAACCAGGAGGAATACCATGGAATGCCAGCTGAGATAACAAGAGACACAGAAAGAACCTTTTGGATTTATGGACCTGTTTTTTTCTGAGCATCACTTTGTTGTAGCTTTGTTTGTAGTCATGGCAAACACTACTGACTTTAGATAAAGGCAGATCATTGCCTGGACTCATGTACTGACTATTGGGATCAAACTTATGCCTTGGGAGACAGGCTAAATAATCATAGTTCTTCAGCTTGAGATAACTTCTATTAATTTTAATGTTTATTTATTTTAATATTGCATTTCTTTCTCAGTCTGGATATATTGCAACTACCATGTAAACTTGTGCATCCTGCAGGGAAAGTGTTTATGTCACTCCAGTGTCATGGAGTAAATCATGAAGTTTGCACTTTGTTGAACAGGATAATTTAGACTTGCTTTGATAGAAAGTACATTAAGGATGTTCAAGAATATAATTGTTGACTTTGAATTCTTAAAGAGGTGATGAGCACTTGCTCATAAAGAACTCAGACTCAGAGTGTATTAGGCTTTACAGGTGCCTTAGAATTATTTCTTTTATGCAACAGAGCTGAAACTGTAAGCTGTTTACCTTGGGCAGTCAGAAACGTGAACTAGTATTTGTCTGAGTTTGCAGAAATGATTTCAAAGTACTGGTACTTGTGAAAACAATTTGTTCCAGCTCTGAGGAACACACTGAATGCACATGAGAAAAGTGAGAACTTCAAGTGTTCGTGGTTATCAACAAATAGCATGACTATTTGGACTAATTCCTTTGTATTCTGCAAAGGAAACATCTACAGCAGGCATTTTATGTGATCCAGGAATGGTTATGGCTAATTCTGCCAAGTCCTGCAGTATTGTTGAGTGTATCCTTTATTGTAGTTATACTATAGATTTTCTTAGGGATTCTCTTATTCAGGTAACAATGGAGAACAAAGATGGAGATCTGTGAAGGCAACTTACATGGTTTTCCTGGGCTAATGAATTTGATGTTATGTAAGATTAGCTACAGTGCAGTGAGTCTAATGCAATATTCACATTTCCACATTTTCCTCTCAGTTAATTTTTGGAATAGACGCCTTGAAAATGTAGCAATGAAGACTATTCCCCATTCTAATTTTCTCCCTTTTTCTCCCAACTATTCCCTTATAAACTCCTTGAAAAATTGTTACAGGCTCATTAAAAAGTAAAGATATAAATTTTCTTCCCTAGACACCCCTGAAGATTCTGTGTAACATGTTCTGCATTTGATCTATCTGGATAAGACATGAGGATTTCTATGGATAATGTTGGTCATGTGTTAGTTTTCAATGTCTTGGCTTATTCCCTATTAAATAGGTCAACATTTCCTTCCTTTTTTTCCCCCCCTTGGTCTGTGGCTATTCTGGGATTCTAGTACAGAATGTCTTGAAAAGAGAGAGAAATATTCTGTAGCTGCAGATTTGACTCAGGAAATTTATGCTTGTTGAGGTATTGGGCTGTATATGTGTCCTGGGGTGGCTGTATGGTCCAGTATCACCATTGTCTCTTTTTCTTGTCTAGATATGAGTATAATTAAATACAACTATTGACACTGTGGGTCATTGGGGTCTGCAGAGAGGACCCTGAAGTGTTTATTTAATTCCCAGTGTTTGCTTGCCTAGTGTGCAGGTTTTGGCACATGGAGTCAGTGCTGTGTGTGGAGTTAGAGATGATATATTGGTTTGTCTTAGTGGGGCCATTACTGTTGATTGAGAGCATAATCCTTCCATCAAGTGGGAGTTGGAGAAACAAAGGAGCTGTTACCATCTATTAGGGAAAGGTTTATTTCTTAGTGTGTGCCAAGTTTTACATAGCAGAGCCTAATAGCTTCAAAGCTCTAAAAAAAAGCTTTTCATTTTTTCTAATATTATATTTCGCTTCTGTATTTGAGTTATGCCAAAGTTGCACAAAACAATAAGTATAATTCTTATAGATCAGAATATTCTCAGAAATGTGCAGGCATAGCTGTAATTTGCTGGTAGACCTCAGATTTTGAGTTGCTCTTGATAATGGAAGCCCACTACTGGTTTACATAAAATCTCTCCTTTTTCTTGAGGTATTCTCAGTAGGGGACATTAACAAAGCTCAGGGTTTAGATTATTAAACAGGTTTAGATAATGAAAACAACAGGGCCTGTGTTGTTGCCTCTCAAGTAGCAGCAATTATCTTTATGTGTGTAAAGGGAATAGATGGCTTGTGATACAAAAACAAATAGGGATTAAGTGGTAAGAAAATAGGGTGGAGCTGTTCCAAACCCCAAAACTTCATGGAAAAGTCCTGATAGAGAAAAGTGAAAAGAGGAAAAAATGTCCTATATACACTGGTGTAGAAAGAGATGAGGAAAATGGTAATGAAAATGGTTTCTGTCAGCAATATTTTCTATTTTTAATTCTTCCTAGTTGTTTATGTTGCTGCACATACTCTATAGAGAGAAAAAGGAAAAAACAGTGCTGAAAATGCATTGAAAATGAAATATTGGAATATTGAGAAGGTGCTGCCTTGTTAAATACTTCTGCTGCCAGAGACAGTGGGTTTTATTAGTTTCTCTGTGTCATAAATGAATGTGTTTCTTCACATAAAATAGCGTTTCTCAGCAGACAGTTTGAATTTGGCTCTTGTCAAATTATTGTGCTTATGCATTACTGACTCATACTGAAATGTGTCTACAGAGACTCCTGTGAATGCAGAGCAGG